GACTGCTTAGCACAGCGCTCAGCAAGCAATACCCGTTTAATAAAAGTTTAGTTGCTGTCATCATCATCACTTTCATTTCTCAGTTTGTTTCTCTAGCATCACCTGAAAGACTAAGTGTCCTTTCGAATTCGTTATTTCTCTGTAGTATGCTTGTCAAGAATGCAGACCATATAATAAAATACCATCGGTCATCACGTCTCTGCCCCACAGTCAGATATGAATGATAATATAAAGTGTTTTTATCTGCTACTAAACTTGAATTTACTATATAAAATAAAGCTCTACTTCATTTCCTGAATGTTCTCTTGTCGTTTCAGCCTCCCTTAAAAGGTCAGCGGTTTCGTGCTTTGAACATATTTACACATCGTGATTGTATATATTTCTTTTTATGGTCACTTTGCTCATATATTAAGAAGTAACTGTAGTCTCGCAGTTTAAGAAAAGACTTTGATCCTTAAAAAAAGACTTCTTCTGATACATTAAAACAAAGTGGTATTGGGGTGATAGAGTAAAGGAAAAGCACTGTCTTTGGAGAAATGTGAAAATCAGACATCTTAGCATTATGTAGAAAGTCTGGGAGAGCAGACTAGAAGAGAAACAAGAGTAAAACATAGGGTCAAAGATTGTCAAACATAACTGGCAACTTGAATGAGAGGTCTAAAAGAAGCAGGCCCAGAAACCAAGGTGCATGATCAAGGAAGACTGTGGAGGCTTCTGTAGACACAGACACAGTAATAATGAATGCACAGAGCACTGTGGGGAAAGTTGCAGTACGTTAACGAACAGTTTGATATTTGATTATAATGATGCTCTTCAATAATAAAAGCTCAGTTGTTGAATTCAGAAAATATTTGTTAAAGGCCAGGTATGTGTAGTCAGTGTATACCTACTGCCAAGGGTATAAAAATCGATGAGACATGGTTCTGGTATTTAACTTGGATCAAACTTTCTAATAGCTACAGTAAGAATGCAGAGATAACCGTAAAGTTAGAGTGTGATACTTACTGCAAAAGGTAAATAAAAGTAAATTTTAAAGAATGGGAACCAAGAGACTTTTTTGGACATCGGTGATAACTTGCATAAAGTTACGGATACCAGGATCCATTTTTAGAAATATGCCAACTTATTTTCAGTATGGAGTGAATGTAAGCATACTGTGGGACCGTGAGCAAGAAATGACACTCGAAGTTAGTGTGGGTTGAAATGAATGGGTGAATGTAAGCAGTCTCTCTCTGTCAAGGCACAAGTAAGCTTATGACTGCATTTCAAAGATTTTTTTCCTAATAAACCAGTCGGTTCTTCAAGTTTTAAAAATTCGCATTTATGCAGAAAATTTATTCAAGATCAGTAGTAGCTGAGACGTAATTGTGGGCAAATTCGGTGAAGGGAGATAGTGAGCTCCAGTTCAAACACTCTGAGTTGAGAGTGCTTTAGGGACACATGTACGCACATGTCTGGGTGGCAGTTGAATTTGGAGGTCTGGAAATCAGCGGGGAGGTCTGCTGGAAATGTGTATTTGGGAATATGTCTCAAAAAACGTGATGTTCTGTATTGCTAAAGATTTAGCGGCATGTAATATGAAATGACATTGCTTTGGGGGACCATAAAACAGATATAATATTAATTTTTAATATAACAGACATTACAGTAATTATAATAATGAGCCTTTTTTTTTACATTAGTTCAGTTGTTTACTCCTCAAATACGATTTGAAATATAACTGTAAAAAGAAATTAATGCCTCATAGACCACAGTTTCTAAGAGGTGCACGATTTTTTGTGTATATCCATTTCGTTATCTCTCCTTTCTGCTTCATTTCAACCTTTGTTTTTGGTCTTGAATTATTTTTCGAAATGAGAAATTTGGGGAGGGGATTCTTGACCTCGATATTTTGGAATACGGAAGTAGGCACCCTACAGTCTTACTGTGTTGCTTGTTTGCTTGTGACTGAAAGAGAGCCTTCACTGTGTTTTACAGACTTCCCTATAGTATCTGCCAATTCCACATTTCCTTTATTATCTAAGAAGCAAAGAGAACACAGGGAGAGACTATAGTTGTGTCGAATAATTACTAGGCTCACAACTCAGTGTTGAAGGAATTTACTTAACTATAACTCTTCCTGAGTTAGAATGGGCTACAGTTGGAGAAAATTATCTTAAAATCTTTTTCTTGTAAACAGTCTGATGTGCTCATAGATTGGAAATATCTAATTCTGTAAGGCGGGATAGGGAAAACATGGTCTCTCTCCCTCCTGCTGTGTGACCCGCCCCCCGCCCAGCCCCTGCTCTTTCAGAGATTCTCTGGTGGTCTGTATTGCTTCGTCGTGCTGGCCTTGCTACTAGTTGGTTTAGGTATATTTTTATTTTTTGGTTTTCACTTCTTTCATTGTGGTGGGAACTCAGGCACGTTCATCGGGAAGGTCTCGTCTTTGTTTTCTTTTCAAAGAAAACTGCCTCCTTTCTCTTCTCTGCTGCCTCCTTTTTCTTCTTCTTGGTGAGACATCTTTCACCCAGTTTCTGAGCCTCTTGGAATAGTCCTCTAATTTTTATACTCTTCTCTACCATTTTCCATCTCTGTCTTTGCCGCTAGTTGGAAGGGAAATTCCTCATTTTTTATTCTCCAACCCCTCTATCCAGTTTTTCATTTCTCTTATCAGATTTTACTGTCATGAATTCTCTTTTATGTTTTTATATTGTTTTTTGTTTTCTTATGTTTTGAACTCTTTTAATAGCGTTTTTTACTTGTGTTAAGGGTGCAGTATCTTCTGTTAACTGAGAATTTTTGAGTTTTTCTTCTCTCGGCTCAGTGGTTGCTTTCTCGGGTTGTTTTCTGTTTGTGGGACTGGTTAGACTTCCCACAGAACTGTCCTCCAGTCACCTGGCCCCAGTATGCGGGCTGGCAGTGCTCACTCTGGGTGTAGAGTAGGGGAGAAGGCTGGGTGCCTCAGCCTTTGGCGAGTGTGGGGTCCCCCAGAAACCCAGTTCCATCAAATAATACAGGTAACTTCATTAGATGTGTATACCTCTCCCCCTCAAAAAAAAGCCATTTAAAAAAAAGACATTTTGGTGAGAAAATATTGTCAATATTTTTTAACATAAAAATAAAAAATCGACATTTACAAAAGTATTTTTTTCCGACAGTCTGTGTAATTTCAGTTCTTTGACATACAGGTAACCCTAAAGGTTCCCAATCTGGGGGGATTTATTGACTCCTTAGTTTCTCAGTTTCTTATGGTATCTCTAGGTGAAAAGAAATAATCGTATTTTTTAGTTATAGAATACTTACAAATAGTTTAATTCGTATTTATATTAAAGCAACTTAAATTGAAATTTTAAAAACTTTTCATATAAATTACTACTTCAGTTATTAATGAGATATGTGTTTCTCTTGGGCACTGTTCAGATTCTCAGGTTGGACACTCACCTTTTCCTGTTCCAAATTGATTTTTGCGTGAACTTCCTTTTTATCATAGCATTGCAAAGATATGACATCATCAAAAGGAATGTAGCATGATTTAATGTTGGAAAGGTCAAATATTTGGAAAGAGATTTTCATGGTGTCCAACAGACATTGACTATTGTTGCCCTTGAAATTTCGCATGCCCCCATGGTACGCCTGTGAGCCCACTGTGCTGACTCTGAGTTCTCTGTCTGGGGACGCATAGGTGGCCTGCCATAGGATGATATGCTTTGTCTGGGTTCTCGTTTCCCCTTACAGCATTTGGATGCATTTTCATAATATCGATATGAACAAGAAATAAAGGCAGAAGCATCTGTTTCACTGTTGGAACTTATTTCTCTTCTCATTGGCTAAGCTACATAGCCTTTTTTCTGGCATGGGCTCTGCAAATGTGAGCCGTAGAAGAAAGCTGTTTCACTGTATCTTTTATTAACTTATACCAGTTTTTTCTTTGAGTAGAAGCTCACAATTTAGTAAATAGTGACCTTTAAGATGAAAGTTCAACAGCAACAAGTATTATTTATTGTTTGTGGTACTTCGCACCAAACCAAGTGTATTTACATATACCACTTTTATAAGTTTACATTCTTATTTCGTTTAATATTTTTAAAAATTATATTTATAAGATATAAGTTATTGATAAATATGTTTGTATGCTGTCTCCAAAACTTAAAACAAGAGGAAGTTCTGAAATCATTGTCTTAGATGAAAGGGACATGTGGCCAACTCTGCTGCTAGATGCTTTGGAGCTGGACATGCCCTCCAGCCTGGAGGCCGTCCCTCAGCAGGGGCGTGAAATGTAGATACGCTCTATTAATCCAGCACTTGTGGGCTGAGATTATCAAAGAGTGACGTTACAGTTCACTGTTTAAGCTAATGATGGAAACGTAGTTAACACTAATCTTACATTTATTATTGTGATTATGATGAAATGTTTTCATAAATACTACATGCAGCACTTAAAAACAAATGGCATTTCTCTTATTCAGTAATGTCTGTCTGCAGAATACTTTTCCTGATCGTGAATTCAGACAGTTATTATAAGTAGTTGTAATGAAATGGAAAGTCACTGAATTTGAGACTGAAGACTTCGATTTGATTCCTAAATTGGCAAATTATTAGCTATGTGACCTTGACAAGTGACTTATATTAACCCTGATGACCTTCCACTTATTCATAGGTAAAATATAGACATACCAGCGTGCTTTTCACGATCGTCTAAGGATGACACCATAAATGAATTTCTTAGTGCATAAGATCACAACAGGGCTTCTGATTGCCTTGCTCATTTTCTCCTTAGGGTCTGGCTCCATACTCGTATATAGTATGTGCTCAACAAATATCTGTTGAATTAACTTATCATTCAACCCACTAGGGTTACACACAGGTTTTCTGCCAGAGAAATAATTCAAAAGATTTGCAGTGTCGTCATAGAAAAATAATGCAAACATAGCTTAAATAATTGGCAGCAGGTTAGTATTATGAAAAATATACTCTTTCTGAAAAGAAGTTTGTAACTGTGTACTTTGTAAATTTTTTAGGAGGAGCAAAACAGAGGCAAGCCCAATTGGGAGCATCTCAACGAAGATTTACATGTACTGATCACTGTGGAAGATGCTCAAAACAGAGCAGAGATCAAACTGAAGAGAGCCGTTGAGGAAGTGAAGAAATTACTGGTACCTGCAGTAAGTAAGAATTTTCAAATATTGGATTTGGGTTCCAACTCCTTTTCTGGTTTAATTTTAAAATTATTGTAAGGTTATTGTAATAAAACACATGTGAGAAATTTTATTCAGATACACAGTACAAAAACGATTTATGACTCCTTTGCTCTAATATAATAGACGTAGACCTCGCTCATACTTTTAGATGGGAAAGACTTTATGTTTTGTGAAGGGAGTGTTGTGAGGGAGCAGACTCAGTAGTGGCCTTCAAAAGCAGTGTTACCGTTGCCTCATTCCGTGACGTGGTGAGCACGTGGGCAGCTCGTAAGGAGGGTGCTCAAAGCTTTCTTATTTTAGCGGGACGGTGTTTCACTGTGGCAAGTCAGGAGAGTGGCAGAGAGGTCTGCACGTCCGCTGGGCCAGCCGCGTCAGTAGAGCGCATGAGTTGCCTGTGGGCTCTGGTACTCTCCTGGCATGTCGTCTCCCGTGGGACGCTTAATGCCCCATAGTGGAATTTACTGGAATAATAGAATAAAATTTCTTTGAGAAAAATAAGAGCCACCTTTCTCTGAGGTGCCGGGCACCTCCGAGTTATCATCCTCCCCGTCCATTCCCTCGGTCTCCGTCTGCCCCAGTCTACTCCCTGTCCCTTCAGAACTGATGATTGAACTACTACCAGAATATTATCTTTTTCAGTGGAAAATAAAAATAAATGATTGGATTTCCAAGACATTATTAAAAATTTTTACGTTAGTAAAATATATGGAAACGTAGACCCTAACTTGCTGTTGAAAAAGCTAGGGATGCTGTCAGCATGCTGTCCACCAGAAGTGCATTGACGTGCACGTAGGTGAGCAGAGCACCTGCTCTTGTTCACTCCTCAGGCATTCTGTTCTGCAAGCAGACTTAAAATCATAAAGAGTTTCATGCAAATTCTGTTTAATAGGACTTATTAGGAATATAAACAAGCAGAGTAAATATAAACATCTGTATAATTGTATACTGTTAAGTAACTGTATAGTCTTCCTCCTTTTTCTTGATAAGTGTGCAATATTGAAAAGATGTATAGAAAAGAATTTCTGTTTCCCTAAGCGTACTGGGCTGTTAATCTCATGATCACACAGAGTTACTTAACATTAAGACATATTGCTCTGTGTAACTGAAAACAGTCAGCTCATGTAATATAATCAAACAAATGAGCTCACCTGACATATTAAGTAGCCCAGTCTCTAATAATTAAAAACTCTCATTGACTTAACATTTTTCAAATCATTCTCTGAACTACTTTAGTTCTAAAAATTACTAACCTGTGAAAGAGCATTGAATTGGAAATGTACTGTGTTACTAACTAGCTATGTGTCTTTCAGAAAGTCAGTAAACTTCTCTGTGTTTCCTCACTCACAGAATGAGAGTTGGAGCAAATATCCTCTCGGGATATTTTGGCTTTAAAATTATTTACCTTTGGGTATTAAAAGGTGGCAGTAGATAAAAAACGACAAACTTTAAAAATTTTTATCGTTTATATTTTAAGTGAAAATAGCACTTTTATGATAAATCGATTTCCAATGGGAGTATTTTAGGATCGTTATTAATTGCTAGCTCTGAATTAATTAAAACTTTCCTAGAATTACAAATTGTAGAATACAAATACTTTAAGGGATGGCGTCTATAAAGTGATTTGACCTTGTTGTTGTTTGTTATTCCTACCCCATTTCATTATATAGATATGTTTATTGTAACATGGATGCTCTAAAGAATTTATTTTAATTAAACAGAACATTATTATACATTTCTGATGATGATACCATATTAAACAAGGTTTAAACAAAACAGAAGCTTTACAATCCTGAGGTCGCAAGTAATTCTGGATTTTACTTAGATTATTGAGAGACAGAATACATAGTATTTGAGAGCTGGCTTGTGAATTTGAATCCTGTTTTTGTGGCTTTTTAGCAAGTCTGTTCTTCGTAATCTGTCAGATTGGGACATCATTAAATTATCACAGAGTTATTGTGAAATTCAGCGAAGACGATAGATATATGGAAAATGCTTAGCGTAATGCCTAGCACATAATTGTTCCATTAAAGTTTGCTGCAGCTTTTTGTCATTGTGCAAGTAATATTATTATACAGTTGTATAGGTTTATGTGTTGTTATTCCTTCAAATGCTGATTATAAAAGGAATGCATTAATTCAAGATTAGAGAAAATATAAGTTTCTAACTAATTCATTGTCACTTGAAGTAAATTGATTTGGCCCTTAAAAAAAATCCAGTGTAAGGCTCATTAGTTTTTCAGTGCTTAAATATTTTCAAAAACATATTTTTGGATTGAAAATATTGGCCAATCTTGATCTTAAAAATAATTCACACATAAATGAATTTGGTTAATTCTGTTTTTCTTGCTATTTGTATAAAAGGTATAGTGGGAATGATGTAGAGACCAGCAATTATTTTGAAATGTATTATGGAAGATGCCCTTGTATTGAGTTGAGAATTACAGAAAAGAACTGTCACCCTAACTCACTGGGATTTGACTAAGGGTGCCAGAGTCACTGTAGGAAAGAGCATGTTTCTTGTTGGCATCAGCATTCACATCTTGTCTAACCTCAGACTGCCCTTCCAATAGATCGTCTTGATTCTTGTGTTTTATGAAAACTTTTTGAAGCTTTTTCTGTGGTTGTCACGTCTCAAAATTTATCTTGAGAATGGTGGTGCTTAGAGTTTTGTTCTGTTGACTATCACTTAACCATTGAGTTAACAGAAATTTACAGGCCTTTTAGATTTGGGATTTTTTAGTTGTGCCTTCTCTGTCTCTTCAATATTCTTTTGCACGGTTTGGCATTTACAGCCGTTACCACTGTCCAGATTCAGTCGAGTGTATTTTTTTACATCTCTCAAATTACCTCCCTTTCTCTCAGGCGCCTTTTCTTTACCCAAAGTCAAGCCAGTTCTCTCAGAGCCCCACAGCCGGTGCCCCTGCTTGTCGTCTTGGGCCCTTCTAAGCCATCTTTACATTGCAATCTGGTCATACGTTTTCCTGCTTAAAAACCTTTTAATGGTTCCCTCTCACCCTGAGAAAAGAATATAGAACTCGTTAACGTGGCCGGCCATCCACGTTCCTCCGTGATCTGCCATAGCTGACCTTTCAAGCTTCCTTTTTCACTCTCTTACTTAAAGCGCACACGCGCGCACACACGCGCACATGCTCCTCACTATAGACCCACAGATTGAATCATTTTGTATTTATTTGAATTTTTTGAAACTTCAGTCTTCTCTCCTCTGAGCCTCTGCAGTTCATTCAGCAAATGTTCGTTATGTACTTACACCGTGTCCGGTGTCGAGGATACAGAGAGAATAAATACAGCTTGGCAGCGAAGTGCCTGCCATTGCGAAGCCTGCCTTCTGGTTGGCTGGGGGAGGTTAGATCACTGACAGTAGCAAAAACAAACCTAAACTAGATTAGGTTGTGATAAAGTGATGAGAAGGAAAATAAAGCAGTGTCAGGGGACGGAGAGCCATGGCTGAGGGGACTGTCCTGCATGGGATGATTAGCAAATGCTCTGAGAAGGTAACGTTTGAAGGGAGCATCGAAACGCGTCGCAGTCATGTGGCTGTCCGAGAAGTTTCCTGAGCACAGGGAACAGGCAGCGAGAGCACTGGCCGTGGAGCGGGTCACTGGGTATCGGGGTGGTCCAGCGTGGCGCTTGGTGAGCGGGGGAGTCGCGTCGGGGGGACAGCAGCTTACAGAGGCCTGTGGGCCCTGACCGGTATATTGGATCTTAGTCTGAGATCGCAGCTGTCGGAGGAACTGGAGGAGAGGAATGACATGGTCCAGTGCTTATTTCAAAGGGTCGTTCTGAGTAGAGTCCATCTTGAGGGTGTTGGTGAAAGCAGAGATGCTAGTGTGCAAGCATCTGTGGCTCAAGTGGGACGACAGTGACTCGGGCTGGTGTTGAAGGTGCCGAGGGGTCGGACCGTGGGTCTGTTTGACAGTAAAGCCGACGGGAATTGCGATGGGTTGGGTGTTGCATATGTGGTGACCCAGGTGTTTACCCTGAGAAATTGGAATTGTCTTTCTTTTACACTTTTGGGGGAGCAGGTTTCGGAGGGAAGTCAAGAATTGTGTTCGAACGTGTAAAAATTGAGATACCGAATGTTCGATGGCCATTTAGTCATAACAAAGTGGGGCTTTGGGACGGAGCTAGCGGACGCCCGTTTCGGAGTCGTCACCCTCTTGGGACTGGGTGCTGTTGCCTAGAAGTTGGAGAGGGGGTAGAGAGCTGGTCGGAGCTGCGCCCCGGGTTCTCCGCCTCTTCGGTGGGCAGTCAGGGGGAGGAGGGCGGCCCAGCGAGGAAGACTGAGGAGGGGCCGCGGAGGCCGGGGCACGGCTGGGGTCACGGGGCCATCTTCAGGTTGCTGCTGAACATTGTTTGGCTGTGATAAGACTGCGGACTTCATCCCTGAATTTGGCGAGCTAGTGGTCACTGCTGACCTAGACGATCCATATTTTTGGAATGGCGAATTTTAAAAGCCTGATCAGCTTGGGTCAGAAAGACTGGGACAAGAGGCAAAGGCGCTGGGACTTTCTTCTCCTGGCCCCGTTGTTCATGCGAACGAGCCCTCAGTGCCGTCGGCCTCTCAGTGCTTTCTTCTTGTGAGGGACCTTCTCCCGCTGCAACCGCCCAGCCTCCTTCCCAGGGCACCGCCCTAAGCACACAGCCACAGAGCGTCCCCCACGGGACAGTTCCCTTCTGGTCACTGAGAAGGGGCTGCGTGCAGTGGCAAGCAGAGTTAATTAACTTGTGCGTATGTACTTACGGGAAAAGTCTCTTGAAGTAGAGACTGGATTAGAGGAGCAGAGCATTTCAAGTTTTACTACTTCACTCATCTGAAAACTTGTGTTAATTTGCAGCCCTGCCAGCATCATAAGTTTCTCAGCACAGTCTCAAACCCTGGGGATTGTTGAGCTTTGTAATCTTTGCTTTTTTAATAGAATTATTTTTAAAAGACATGAGCTTTAG